GAATCCAGGAAGTTAAAGGATCTGCAGAGATTAGATTTACAGATGGTATATGCAAAAAGCTCTTCATTTGGGTAGCAACTGAGAGAAGCTGCACCAGCCCCAGTGCTCCTCTGCCGGTGAAAGCATCTTCCTACAGTTTGCCTGGCACAGCAGGACTTCTCAGTGACCTTTCCTAATGTAAACCAGGGGTTAGCCCCTTGATGAACTGACTGTTGTAACACAAGGTGAAACTCACCAGCAACGGCTCTTCAATGCCACAGTTTTTAGAGGGCTTAATATAGATCCTGAAGTACTCCTAAAATGGAAAACAAAAATTCTGCTAAATCCTCTCGTATACATTTTTTGAATGAAGCATTAGAGCTCGTATTAATTCAAGAGATTCCGTCATTTGGCCTTCCTCCACTCTGCCTTTTCAGATCAAACAGGCATTCTGCGTGCAGAGCAACTGCTTGTACTGTGGGGGCACAAACCAGCACAAAAAAATACTGGCAGCAGATGGGCAGCCCTGAATGGAAAAGAAAACCTTGAGCTTTTCGCTGCTTGGATTAGAGTTTGGGAGAGTTACATAAGGAGGAAATGGGGAAAAATATGCAAGCTTGAGAGAAGATAAAATCTGATTAAAATGCAGACTAATATAATTGCAGAACATTACTCAGCCTTCCTTGTGGAGAGAAAAAATTCCTGCTACTGTGCTGCTATAGAAACCACATAGGGTCTGCAGGTAGGTGAGGGTGCATGGAACATGTCCCTACTTTCCTCCCCCATTTCTGCCCTGGAATGAAGATCGTATCTTGCTCAGTAAGCTTAGCCCTCACTGGCCAGGAGATCTCTCCCAGCACACAGAGAAGTTGTTTTCCTGTTTATGTAGTGTCTTTTAATATCCCTGTTCCCTCCCTTTTTTGCTTTGCTCTTGGGAAGCAATGCAGAGCTATGTCAGAGGAGGGGGTAAACTCGGGTCTTCTTGAGCTTTTCACAGGGATTGGTTGACTTGGCTCTACCTATTGGGAGCATGGAACATATGTACTGTGCCATGAACAGCCAGCTTTCTTGTACTTACTCCTACAAAACCAAAGAGATAATCCACAGTACTTTGGAAAATAAATACTTACCTGGAATGAGCAGATGTGGTCCGTGTTCCTGAACACTGCGTCCACATCGCTTGTTTCCCTGAAGGCACACAGTTAATTACCAGAGCACTAGAGAACAAAGTATTGTCCATTCCCTGGCTGTTGATGGAAGTGTTTTTACAGAAGGTGTTAAGCTGCATACGAATTTACCCTCTGAGCAGTGCCATAGAATATACTATAGAAATGCATCCCTGAAGTGTGAAAGTGTGTATTTGCACCAGTTCTGACCCACACCTTGTCTCTGACAGCAGTCACTTTTGCTACTAAGAGGAAGGGATAAGAAGTTTTGCATTGAAAAGCCTGATGAGAAAGCCTGTCCACACTCCATTAGAGCTCCTTCTGGCCCAAAATACTTGAGAGACTGGTGCAAAATTTGAGGAGATTAAATTACTGCTCCTTAAGAATTTTATGCTAGCATAAAGTACTGTAAAAATGCACTTTCTCATAATTTATAAATGAACACTCCTTCTTGGAACAGCGATAACTATCATTTTTGTCCCAGTGCCTTCCTACAGCAATTGTCCCAGTGGCTCAGTTATGTATTTTAGACGAACATATTTTGTATCTCATTTTTTCTGCAAGTTCTACCTTTCAATCTGGCTGATTGTTTTGCTCTTGGTGCTCTGACACAGGGGGAGAAGATCCCATTCTTCAGTTATTTTAGCATTTTCATCCAGTCATTAATTAATCATCATCTCCTTCATAAAATCAGTTTACTGAGGTGCAATCTCATTTTCATCCCCTTTTCCATTTATGTGTTGGAGACACCTCTTGCTGGCACACATTGCTATACGTTAGGCCTAAATATTTATTTATTTCTGGAATGGTGTTAGAATATTCTCTGTAGGCCTCTACAAAGGATCTCTTGGTCATTCAATCTCATTGCCACTGCAGTCAGCCACACCATGTAATCCCTTCTAGAAACAACTCCAGCTCCATTTAGAAGTCAGACTTGATTTCCTCCCTGCCACTCCTGCTGGAGGACTGTTCTGGTGTTTTGCTACTCCAGCTGCAGAGCTGAACATACCCACTTGTTCTCACAGTAATTTCAACTTTTCTGGCTCCCTCATTTCCTAAGTCCCACTTTCTTTGTTTTGACAAACTGGATACACTAAGCGTTTTTATTCTCCTCTGAAATGGGTTGTTCTGATCATCAGAGTGACTTTTGTCCATACTTGTTCCATTTTGATTTACTCTTGACTGCTGACAGAACCACACATTGCACTGCAGATCTTTTCTGAAATTGCTTATCTATCTGACATTGCTGGTTTTAAGTTTCCCTTTTTACACAGTCCCTACTCTCTTTGTGATTAACCAGTCCTTCTTTTCCAAATGCTGATCTCATAGTCAGTGGCAGACATTTTTGTGATTAATTTCTGCATGTCATTAGTATTATTGAATTTAGTTATATTTTCATTAAACCAGTTCTGGGAGGCATGCAGGATCTCCTAAAGACTAGTCCCACCCATGTTTGAATTGATAATGTTCCCCAGCTCATGTTCTCAGTGACACCAACACAATAAAAATATGAAGGACAATAGCAGCCTTGATGAATTCCACAGAGCAACTTTCCTTCTGTCTGACACTTCCTGTATAAAACACCCCTCTGTTGTTGTCTCCTGATCCCCACATTCTTCTGCCTTAATATCCATTTCCTGTCTGGGCAGTATCAGGTATTACTGGCATCCCATAGATTACATCTACCACATTTCCTTTCTTTAAGGAAAAGGGAAACAAAGTTGTATCAGAGAAAGATATCATGCTGAAGCAACATCTCATGTAATCGTATACTTCATTTTATCCCATTTATTCCCGTATCTTTAATCATTCTTTCCTCCAGAATTTTTCCTAATTATTGTAAATTATTTCCCTCTGTGTCTTTAATGCAAGTATTCCAGAATATTTTGAGTGCTGCAGTAAAACTTCTTGCTCCTTTCACCCTCGTCTCCACACACATGGCCCACCTTCATTCTCTATGAGATCGTTTTTCCCTACTGCAGTAATTACCTATGATTTTCTTCCCATTACTCATCTTCCTTCTGCTCCCATCTTTCACATAATCATCTTTATTAAAAGTGGAAGCAAAGTGCTTCTTGGTTTGGTAAATATTGCCAGGCTTCCTTCAATCTGTATGCTCTTCCCACTGCATGACAGCCCTTTTCTTTTTCCCTGGCTGAAGTAACTGCTTCTGGATGCCATTATCTATCTTCTGTTATTTCCTCACCTTGAAGACGAAACTTTCTTGGGAGAGTGATCCTCCTCACTGTTACATGTAGGTTTCTATTTCCAGTGACCTTAGTTACCAAGCTGCCAGGAGATCTTCTATGAAACCCTTTCCCTTTGCTTAAGATGCAACATCCAGATAATTTCTGCTGCCCCGGCATGAAAGAAGTCTTTCCTTTGTATTCAAGTCCTTGAGTCCTTCAGCCTTGTTGATTTTCTTCTGATTAGGTCTCTTACTCTGTCCCCTTTTGACTTGGAATGCCTTTTTATAAATCTATGCTGTACCCATCTATTCATTTTCAACTGCATCTATGAAAATCATTTTCCCCTATGACCTTGCTAGCCTTACAATATACTCCCTGCTAAATCACCATCACCTGCTGACACTGACTGTCAAACAGGGTTTCTTCTCTATTGTACCCAGTGCTGCTCAGCTCCAGGCATCATTCATAAGACTCTGCTCTCACCTTCCTATCTGGGAAAGCAGCACTACTGCAGGAGCAGCAGTGTGTTTCATTATATTCCAGGTATCTTTCTTCATTTGCAAAAGTAGCTCTGCAGCTTATAGAGAGCTCTGCACAAACGCAGGTTTGCTGCGATGGTGACCACCTTCGGCCTAAGTCACATCATCAGGCTCCCAGTTCTACCCCGACCCTCTTTAACCCTGCCTCTGCTGTGGTTTTGAGCCACAAACCGGGTCTACTGCTTTTTGTGTGTGTGATTAGCACTCAGTGTTACCCAGTGGCCTTTACTATGAGGTCTGTCTTTCCTGAACAGGAGGGTGGTTTTATCCCGCTCCGTCACCACTCTCCTATCACTCTTTGTTTGGGGGGCGCTCAGGTTTTACTCCTCCATTTTGAGCTCAGGCTCCTTGCTCATACCGGCAAGTGTTGCAACTGCTCCCCGGCGGGTACCTTCCTTCGCTCCCCGCCCACCTCTCCTGTGTATTTCCCCCCACTTGCCATCATCGTCTGCTGTGTCTTTACCCGTTCTCACATCCATGTTTTACTCCATTTTTCCCGTTTCTGTGCGTTATAACCGAACTCAGCAGGCACAGACCTACCCCAGCCTCGTCTCTTGCTTGCAATTCTTTCTGCTGCAGTTGCAGCCGTTCTGGTTTCAGTCGGCTCCTGCTCTGGGTGGTTAGTTGAAAGGCTTTGCCAGGGCTGGAAGGGAAGTGGAAGGGAGGGAAGAAGGGAAAGGGAAGGGAAAGCAAAAGGGAAGGAAAGGCGAGTTTTGAGGATGTGGGTGCAGTGTGGGACGCCGCTCGTGCACAAGCCGACCCCCGGCCCTACGGGGCTGCAAGGCTGACGTGCCCCCGGCCAGAGGACTGAGCCTTACACACGCTGCCTGCGTTTGTGTCAGCCTGGCGGGAGGCGCCGAGGTCGGGTTAACGGCTCGGCCGGCCGCCGTTAACGGCTGGAGGCGCTCCAGGAGCCGGCAGGTCTCACAGCGTCCCCAGGCTTCTCCTCACGGCCAGGAGCGCGGGGCCGCGGCCAGCCCTCACCGCTCCGCCCGCGGCCGCTCACACCCTCAGCGCGGTGGGGCGTGGGGCGGAGCTTGCGGGGGGGGGGGTGTGGGTGCGAGGCCGGGCGCGTTGATTGGTCTGCCTGAGAAGGGGCGGGGCTTGTGTCGCGGGCGGGGAGGAGAAAACGGCGGTGGCGGCGGCGGGCGCGGGGCGGCGTGGCGGGCGCGGAGCGGCGATGCGCCTGACGCAGAGCATGTGCACCATCGGCGAGTGCGCGCCCGGCGGGGACGGCTGCCCGTCCGCACGGCCCCGCCTCGTCAAGATCGCGGTGGTGGGGGGCAGCGGCGTGGGCAAGACAGGTGAGGGCGGCGGCGGCGGTGTTGGAGGGGCGGCGGGGGGCTGCGAGGGGCGGTGGAGCGCGGCTAACGGCTGTCTGTGCCTGCCCGCAGCGCTCGTGGTGCGGTTCCTCACCCGGCGGTTCATCGGCGACTACGAGCGGAACGCAGGTAGGCAGGCGGAGGGGTGGCGTGGTTCCCGCCGGGAGCCGTGGGGATCGGGGTCTCCGCGGCCGCGAAGGGGGAAGTCTACTGGGAGGAGGGAGAGCGGCGCCCCAGCCTCTGCCCCGCTGGTGGCTTTCTACCCCAGAGCCGCTCGGGGGTACACGGGTTGGAGAGCTGGGGGTGCAAGGCATGGAATCACTGAATGGGTTGGGTTGCGAGGGACCTTAAGATCACCCAGTTCCAGTCCCCCTGACATGGACGGGGGCAATTTCCACTATACCAGGTTGTTCCAAGCCCCGTCCACCCTGATCTTGAATACTGCCATGGATGGGGCAGCCAGAGCTTGCCTGGGCACCCTGTGCCAATGCCTCACTACCCTCACAGTGAGCTCCATCCTGGAAGTTAAAGTATTCAACCTAGCCCTAAGCCAGGTCCCAAGTGTGAAAGGAAGAGCTGAAAGATGTTGGGGCTGTAGGTGCGCTAACCCCCAAGCTGTTCCAAGGCTGGCTGCTCACTTAAAATCTGTGCCCTGGGCAGCTCTGGCAGCACATGGGAAGGTGCATATCCACCACAGCAAACACACTGTGATCGCAGCCCCACTAGCTCTGTGTTTCACTGTGGTCTCTGACAGGCCTTACTTCGTATGTGAAAATGTCCCTCTTTGAAGTCCTTTAGCTAAAATATGAAAGCATTCTCCAAACCTAATACTGCATTCTTGGCAAGCTGAATGCCAGCAGCTATATGATCTGGACAGTACTAGCTTAATAGGCATAATGCTGGAGTGTAATGCAGCAGGAAGTCTAAACTAATGTGAATGTAAAACATACACCCATCTGTTGAGGAAGTTACTTGAAAAAACTAAACACACACACCCCAACAAATCTTACAGGCCAGCCAGCAGAGAGCTTCACTAAAGCATGGAAATAATAAATGAAAAGCAAACTGATTTTCTGTATTAAAAGCTGGTTATTTTGCACACTTACCTTTATCTAAGCTAAGACAGTCTTAAAGAAGTGTTTAAGTCCCAGGTTGCACATTATTAAATGCCAAGCTTCCAAAAAAGTCAATGCAAGATCCAATCCCAGGCTTCTAGTAAAGCCATAAATTTATGGGCTGTTACATACGAAAAGCTTGCAGCACTGGTTCCTTGTGTCATAAATAGTGATACAACTTTCCCTACCCAACTAATGGGCAGCAGAAGCAACTTATGTCTTTAGAGTGCTGGCTGTATTTGTGAACCTGTTGGTGTTCTTGTCAGGTAATCTCTACAGCAGGCACATCCAGATAGATGGAGAGATGGTGGCTATTCAAGTGCAAGATACTCCGGGAGTTCAGGTGAGCTAGATGCAGCCAAGCAGTTTACCAGAGCAGCTCTGAGTTTGTCTGCTTGTGTGTCTCTGCACATAACCATCTTGTTATGGTCCTTCTAGGAAGTATTTTGCTGTCCATTTCAGAGTTCGGTGTTCTGTGTGGGAGAGGTGGTAACCTGTGTTTTAGCCAGCCAAGCCAGATGTGTTGGGTGCCTGTAGTGTGTTGGTAGTAAAAGAAAGCAACTCACTGTTTCGATGAATTGTTTGTACATTGGAAGGCCATTACTTCTGAGAGGCTGAAGTACTGGAGTGTCTTGTTCCTGTATATTGGGAGCATTGGACATAAACCCAGAAACAATTCTGTGCATATACAGTGCACGTAGAAGAAAATGTCATGATCACTGCCCCGCAAGCTTCATAAATGTGCGTGACAAAGTGAAGTCTGTATTGTGGCTGTGCTCATTAGCATGTCACAAGTTAAAGTTATGGATGTATAGACCTGAGTAATGCTGGATTGTTGCCTTTTTTGAACTGGGCAACACTCCAGGTCTAAATGCTTCCAGCTCATATCTTTGCTTCCCCAGACTTACTGTCTAGCCAGTTAATTTCCCATTCTATGGAACTACAAAGTCTTTCTCTGCATGCAGAACTACTCAGGTCAATTTTCCATTTGAGTATAGCAAACACCAGTGTTAAATTCCAGCTTTTTGCAGCTGAATCAACATACGCATTTATTCACGATGCTCAGATTAAGCTTGTACTTACAATGTGAAATGCAAATATATATGTCTGAAGCTGTAAAAAGCTATTCGGCTTCACAGACTCCTAAAGACAAATACCTTTAATCTTTTATGACATCATCTATCTAATTTGAGACCATTCATTTTTCAGATCCATGAACACAGTCTGGATTGTAATGAGCAGCTGAACAGATGCATTCGCTGGGCAGATGCCCTGGTGATAGTCTTCTCCATCACAGACTGTAAAAGCTATGAACTACTCAGTCACCTTTACCATCATATTCGACAGCTGCATCCAGGAAACACAGTCCCTGTTGTCGTTGTTGCAAACAAAGCTGATCTCTTGCACATCAAAGAGGTGGAGCCTCAGCAGGGACTTCAGCTGGCCAACATGCTGGGCTGTACTTTCTATGAAGTATCTGTCAGTGAAAACTATAACAATGTCTTCAATGCCTTCCATCTCCTCTGTAAAGAAGTCAATAGGCAGCAAACAACCAGCACCCCTGAGAGAAGGAGAACCTCTCTTATTCCGCGGCCAAAATCACCCAACATGCAGGATCTGAAAAGAAGGTTTAAGCAAGCTTTGTCTGCCAAAGTGAGGACTGTCACTTCTGTTTGACAGCAGAGACTCTGGTCTTCCCAGCGCTTAGCCCAAGACTGAAACCTGGGGTGTTTAACACTGGCACGTCTAGAGTCCAAGGCATTGTGAAAGACGGATGGTTCAAGTACTCTTTTGCATGGCTATAGGAGTTTTTAAGCATTTGCTTAAGTAGTCACAGATTGGAAAAGGAAAAAAAAAAAACAAAAACTCTTGAAATAGTTCTAGGATGTGACTTGGAGAATGAGTATTTTCAAATGGAAAAGGAACTTGTCAGTAAATGAAACAAGCTTTCAGTTTGCTTTTATTCAGTCATACAGCTTTGGCTTTCATTTGTGCAGAAGCAACCTTTTTAGCTGTAACTCAACCTGTACTTGAGCAGGGAAACACCCTGCAGTTCACTGTTAAGAAGTAACCACTTGAGTCTTGTTTTTCCATGGATGAAGGACAGCATGATGCATCTGTTTAATTTCATTGCACAGCAGAACTGTTTATCTCAAAACAAATAAGCAAACATGAAATTGCTCTGTAAAAATAAGTGTAAAATAAGTGGATAGGACTGGGTATCAAGACTGTAAACAATGGTCCTTTATTTTTTTACTAGCTATGGTATTGCTGACAACTTGATGAGATTTCTTTGTATGCAAAACTATTGTGCAGAGGGTGTAAACATACCTACTTACAAATAACTTGTGGATTTTACAGACTAAAATGATTCAACTTGGAGCTTTTGAGGAATGAGTGTGGAGGTGGAGTCCATTATAGCTGTCAGTCTAAGACACCTCTCTTCTCTCTCCCGTGTGCAATAGGCACAGAAGGAATGTGGCTGTGATTCAGTGCGGTGTGAAGCACATCTGGCTCCAGGCGATGAAGCTGGTGGCATATTCTGAGCTGAGCCAGTCTGTCTTCATCCTTAAACATGTGGCAGATTTATATATATACACACACACACTTTTTTACATTGAGCCAATGGAGTTCAAAGCCTGAGGGCCTTATACACATGCACTTTAAAAAGCCGGTTGTGCTTTTGTTTAAACTGTAACTTATTTATTTTGTGTACAGTTACTCCTCCTAGGGAGTGAACTTTTCATTCTTACTGCCTGGTTCAATATTAAACTTTTGAATTGCATCTTTTCTTGTGTGTTCTGTGTGTGTGAGAAGCAATGGGCAATGGCCACTGAAATGTTGAGACAAAGCTAGAGCTTTCTCAAGGTAGTTAATGTATATTAGCATAAACCACAGGGGGGGAGCTCTCACAACAGCTTTACAACTTCCTTTTAAGAAATCCTTGTAGGACAGGAACTGAATGAGGCAGAGATTTCAAACTAAAATGGGATTCTTCATTTCCCCTTGTCAAACACACCCACTCCAGTGAGAAAGGAATGGTGTGAGGTAGGTCAAAGTCTGAAAGAACGCTAAATCTTCCAAGTGACTGCTACTTTCTCAAAACAAAAAAAAAACAACAAACCAAAAAAGCCCCAACTTTATGTATTGAGCTGTATCACAACGCGGAACTTAATCAGAGTGCAAGTCTTCAATTATTTTATTACTAAGACCCTGAGGAGGATGTGTGTGCTGGGACTAGGGTGGCTGCTGCACATGGGCTCACCTGGTTAGCACACAGCTGTAATACCTGGTGCAGGGAAACCCTGACAAGGTGCTGCTGCTGATCATCTTTCTGAGCATGAGTTCCTAGCCAAGTGGTTTAGGATCAGACTTGCAAATAAAGCTGAGTTTGCTTTTCCCATCTGGGCTTATTAAATCACCAAATACTGCATAGCTTATTAATACAGTAGAAAAGCCGCTTGTCAAAGGTGGCTTTGTGTTTTCTCTTCCTATCTTTTGAGTATCACTTAGTGCCACATGCAGAGGACTTTGGCACTCCTTGCTGTGGTCCTGAACCTGCCTAAGTGAAGTGGCTTCTGTGCTGCTCCTACTCATCTGATCAGCACACCCCCCAGCCTTTTCCTGGAGCACAGGCTATGTGTAGCTGCCACAGCTATTTCTTACAAATAAGCAGCTATTACACTAGGGCCACTGGCAAGACTCAGCTCCAGGCTTTTGTGACCATCTTCCCTCTTCAGCTGCTTGAGTACAAGAGGATGGTCGAGTCCCCAGAATCCATTGCCATTTCAGCTGTGGCCCCACTGGCTGAAAAGATTCCTGCAAAGTGTGTGTGGGGGGCTGGAACACTAGTTTCTGCCTCAGTCAGAGGAAGTACAAGAGCACCAGTGTCTGCTTACAGTTACACTCCCCCCCCCTTCTCACTATCCCATACAGCATGCCCTTAGATGGCCAAGTCAGAAACCCCAGAGCATCTGATGAGACACGTGAGGGAGAGAAGACCACCAATGCCAGCTTCCATTATCACCAGAAAGTATCAGCAGCATCTCAGGTGTGAGTAGCTGAACTCACTGACCAGCAACGGCCACTGCATGTAAGGGAGCCTTTCTGCTGCCAGCCCAAGGCAAAAGGTCTTGGTTCTCTGGGGCAAACAAATAAAGCAAAAGAAAAAGGGGTTGCAGGAACATGCAGTCCTGGCATGTGTAACTCTGCGTACTAGGAGAGAAGATGGATGAGGTTTGGCATTGTAAGATCATTGCTTTATTGATTACAGAATTTACAAAACATCTATATTCTAAGATTAAACAGTACAGAAGACAGAAAAAGAGGCTGATTATTTGCTTTCAGTTGCTCCGTTCAAACTATTTCTTGAGCTTTTAACATTGCAATCTCATAATAATTCTCATTTTTTATAGCACAAAGTTCTATTCTATAGCCATTCTTATAAATTTCCATAGAGGCGACATTGTCCATGCTTTATAATTGGTCCATTGTTTCCACCCAGCCACCCAAAAGTGAATTTAAATCAAAATGTGCCCTTTTCTGAAGACTATTAAAAACATTTAGGAGAACTTGTCCTAACCAATGAACGAAGGTTAAAAAGCTGCTTCCCATTTAATCTACTCCTTTGGCATAATAAAGAATGCTCTGATAGACTGAATGTCACTTACAATTTCTCATCTCAGTGTAAGCTGCAGTCTTAGCACCCTTTGGGTGAAGCAAGAGGATGCAGCTTTAGAGCTCCACCATTTTACACTGCAACTTGGAAGGCTTGGTGCTATGGGCAATCACAGTCTCTACTGGCTGCTGCTTTTTTATCACAGATTGCAGCAAAGTTTTATAAAGAGAAATTACATAACTGAATTTGATAGCGGCTCTTTTGTGATCATAAATTAAAAACAAAAGCTGTTTTCTAATCTTGCTGCTCAGAAATCTAGCTCAAGACAGAATCTGTGCTGCGGCCTCTTGGAAATGGGATCGTGCTTCTTTTTTTCTCTCTTTTTCTTTTCTAAATGCATATGAGGGGAGGAATCTTCCAGGGTTATTATCAAACCACCACAGCCCATATGTCTTCCTGCATAAACCTACAGAGAAGTGTGCCATCAGAAACAGCCTTTTCTCCTGCGACTGTGGGTTGAGAAACTAGAGCAGGAAACAGGAACCTGAGAGAGAAGCAGCCACTCAACGCAGCCCTTGGGTACAGCCCTCTGCTTCTCTGCCTTGACCAGTCCTGCCAGGAGAGCACCACCGGACTGGGAGCTGCTCTGCCAGCTAAATCAGGGCTGCGCTCCATCACCTCTTCAGGGTGCAGGACAAAGTACGAGCAGAGGCTGTTAACCCTGTGTAAGGCACACGTGTTTTGCATGGTAGCATGACAGAGAGGGTGGATTTTGCTGGCCTTTCACTCCCTCAGCAGCATTTCAGTCCCTCCATAAGCAACGCCCGTGAAATCATCAGGAATACTCCAGATAAAAAGAAGTACTGCTTGGGGAGTGCAAATTCATCATCACCTGGTTCTCAGCCTCTCATTTTCTAGGGAATTATGACAAGTGATCATCTTCACCATGCCAAGAGGGGCTGGGGTGATTCAGCACTGTATGGTGCTATTGTTAAGGAGGGGGGAGTTGTGGATCGTTTTGAAGAGCTGCCTGTGAGCTGTGCATGTTCCTTTGCAGCCAGATACCCAGCTGTTTCAGCTGGAGCCATAACTACAGCAGGGCACATGCCATATTTTGTAGGGCTATCAGGAACAGTGATAGACCAGGGATTTGATGCTTCCAGCTGAGGCCCTCACTCATCTTCTCCACAGATCTTTCCCCATCAAATATCACTATGAAGCTGGAGACGGTCTGTGGCAAATAACAACTCAATAGTACTACGTGGAGTCAGGAGAGCAGAGGAGAGCACCATTACCTGAAAGGGGGAACAAGAAACAAGTCAAAACAAGGGGACCAAGACTGATTGCAGTCCTAATGAGCTGTGGATATGAGGTGTTTGCTTCACCCAGCACTAGGCATGCTGTGTGTTTCTGGTGTTTACTGACAGGGCAATACAACTTGCTCAGTGAAACTGTCTGCTCGCTAATAACTGTAGTTAAATCACTTTAAGGATCATAATGACTGGTAGCAGTGTACTCTTAATGAATGTGTGCTTTGACACATTTCTACAAACATCTTACCCGGTGATTTGTTGTGACTGCCATTGTGTTTACTGAGGCACCAGCTGATGAAGCAGGGGTTTCCCCTCCTACAGCACAGATTTGAGTCAAAGCTGTTTCCTCCCAGTTGAAGGTAAGGTGAGCAGCACAGGAGTGCTGCCAGCCTGCTGCGGGGAGCCACAGTCCCTGTTCAAAAATCACTCAGGACCAGGCACAGGCTGTTCTGCACAACAGAATCAATGCTCAACCTTGAGCACGGTGGGGATGCTATTGCTATTGTTCGTTCAAATTTTTAATCCAAGATGGGTCTGATGAATGGAACTGTTGCTCGCTACAACCATGATATGCATCCTGCTACATTCAGGTACCTGTTTTAATTCAGTGAAAACCAGTATGCAGGTGCCTAAGGTGAAGGCTTATCTGCACTGCAAAGCCAGGAGCGAGTGTGTATGCTCTTGCTGAGTGGAGCTAAGCCAGGGCTGAAGTTGTAGGACACTGCTCTGGCAAAGCCTCAAGTTCAGCAGTGTCTGTAGGGTCAGGACTGAAGGCAGGGATGTAGGGGGAAAATTTATTTTACAAACCCACTTGAAAATTAATTTGCTTCTTCAGTGCAAATCTGAGGAGAGGAAGCACAAGCATCAATAACTGAGTATGCCTGTCTATACATTTCCTGCAGCAGCTATCAAACTAGTGCTCTTCATCATGCGGCTTCAATGTGTGATAGTGCTGCATTTCAACTTTTTTTGTCGTTCTTTCATCTTTTCATTTCAAATAATGAAAGGATCCCTTCTGTACTGCTGATAGTCTTCCCCCCACTTCTTCCCTTGTCCTCCCACACAATCTGTGGCAAACTGACACTGATTATCTCTTCTTCTTCCTAAGGCTAAAAAACTCTGTAATTTGCAGATGCCAAAGGCTGACATTGTCTTACTTATGTTACATGAGAATGAGACTAAGCACAGTATGTGCTCATCTTGTTATCACGCAGCTTAAGTCTGAAAAACACGAGGGGACATGTTACCAAAGTTTTCTGGGCGTACAAGCCAAACATCAACAATAGCCACTGCCAGATAAAAGCAATTTCTTTTTGGAGTTCCACCACTGAACCCTGAGGGGATTTGTGCAACTAATAACAAGTCCAGAGAGAAAAATGAGATCTGCAACTTTAACATCTGAGCAAGGATGCAGATAAATACAGTGGGACTTCGTCTCTTTCCCCCCAGTATCTCTGTACAGCCCAGTATATCTGGGCTCATTGAGGGGGATGAATGTGAATATTTGTTCCTTCATTTTTACAGAGAATGGGGGAATTGCACAGAAAAGTAATGCCCATCTCTTCTCCAGGCTGGTCTTTTCAGGACAGCGTACCTCCTTTGCAGACCTTCTCCTTGTTCAGCACAGCACGCTTGTCTTTGATGCTTCACCTGAAGTGCTACCCCTCCTGACAGCAGCTGAGGTGGGGGAGCCAGGAGCTCCCATCCTAACCCACTGTGTTGCCATGGGCAGCTCCCCCTCAGCAGGGAAGGATGCAGCTAACATCTGATGTTACATCTGGAGCGGTTTCTCTTGCCTGCCTGCCTCAGCCACAGCCACATAGATGGTTGTGTATGCTGGGAGGAGGGAGAGTG